CTCACACATGAGTTATCACCGACTCTAAATCCTAAACGAAAACACAGAAAAGAAGACTGATCTAAATGGATGAGTATGTTGCCTTGAAGAAGATTCAAATAACCTAAAACACATGTGAATATATACATAATAGGTGACCTTGTCCAGAATTTGAGACATTAGCACATTAAAAAAACAGACATCAACCAATTAGCGAATTATCTCGAAGATGGGAATGAACAATGAACTATTGGTAATGCAGTAAAAATACCGTGAAAACAGATTGATAAATAATGTTTTATGGAAAACTGGGTCCGTCAAACACTCTAGTTCTTATCAAGTATACCGTTCTCAATATTCAGTGTGTAGTTTGATTTGCAATAATAATGGCTACTAGAAAAGCTAAGATGTACAAAATACAGTATTTGAAATTTATTGGCAAGTTTATTAAGTTTATGGCTTCTGTATACCCTTGAATAATGAACAAAAGATGAAATACGTCTTCTCTCCCCTCCTCACATTTAATATCGTGTCTAGGAATTTTTTTCACTGAATTGATTGACTTATATACGTAACTTATTCCCTAGACTGTACATTATTTCGAGTAAGATTTTTATAGTGAATGTAACTGACTGGGGATATCACGAGCCAGACCGTCGACTGGAATCCAGATGGGAAACGACGAGTTGGGTTTCCGAGGTGAGAGTGATATGGAGGAGATTATATGAGGAAGAAATGAAAGCTTGTGAGCAGTCGTGGCCCCCGGTTGAAAAGAATGTAGAGAAGAGAGTGCACTAGAGACGTGCTACTGAAGCCCTATGTTCTACTAAGAATCCAAGGGAAAAATAATAATTGTATATATATATATATATATATATATATATATATAACTGACTGACTTTCTGTTCACATCAAACAGTTATGCACTACAAGAATAAATGGTTAATCAGCATAGTCAACAATTTTCTGTACAAACTTCTAATTTCTCCAATATAATTCAGAATACTAATCAGTATCTAACATCTTCTTATGATGACTCAATCAACAGCTTTATGGATATGGAATTCTAAAAATGTAGACATTTTGAAACATTTTAATTCTTCCAATGTAGTAAAAGAATTTAAGTAAGGTGTTTATCTCTTTTCTCAATTAACAACACTTACGAGAAACGAAATCTTCAAAATAACGTTAAACAACATTAGATTAAACTATACATTATAAAATAAGCAATCAATGCAACACTGAGCAAGATGAAATCACATAATATAAAGAGAAAATTGAGACATTTCTAATGGGAATGTTTGCTTTGTATGCTTAAAATATAAACAAGATGTTAAAGATGTCAGTAATTTAAATCAAGTTATAATTCAATTAATATGGATATTGTTCAAAGTTGAAACAAAGTGGAATTAAAACAAACAGTCCTATGAAACATTGATCTATTGTTCAACCTGGAAGTTTTACTAAGTTATATCGTCAAAAAGACCTGAATTTCAATTAAGACACATATAAAAGATGGTTTACATCGTTTTATAAGTCAAAACCTTTATAAGAACACTGAAAGTGATTGTATTTTATTTCTGTAAGGTTTATGAATAAGCAGACTTCCTGCTGTCGTAATATATTTTCTTTGTTTCCAATAATTAATAACGTTTTTTAACGCCATTGAAAAGTACTTCAAGGATACAACAGATGTCCAGTGCTCAGTAATTTTGACTAATCAGTCAATGAATGTAATTTACAATGAATTTTCAAGTCACTATATCTGAGAACAATTGGTTATCATATATAATTCTTTTAGTCAGCTTGTTCAAGTAAAATATATGAAATGGTTACAAGGTTTTGAGTATAGGTGTCTTTGCAGCATTCTCACACATAGTGGAATCCCCATATGAGCAATGATCACATCAGAAGAAGGGAACGAGGAAAGACAGGAAAATCGACTGATGAGGTTGTGAAACTTAGTCGACTAAGATCACTTCAACATGTAATGCACACACCATCTACATCAACATCCCATCCTATGAGAAATTCGGTTAGATTGGAAGAGAGTTCAGGATAACCAGACGAAGATGTGGCACCACTACATGAAGTCCCCAACTGTTGATCTCAGACATCTGGATGAGATGTAGACTGTGTGTTTGGGGTGAACAAGACGAGAGTAGGCATAGTTGAGGACTGTTGATGAGATGGCTGAAAATCGGTGATATTGGTGGAGATGTATTCGCTGCTTGATGTCTTGTGGGACTTGAATATTTGAAATCATCTTTATCTTCACATTGTTTATTCTCTCATATACCTTTGTTGTACTTTTATGTCAGTTTTTTCTATTCACCTATTATCTGTGTACAACTGTGAAGCGTATCGACTTGACCCGATGGAGTTTTGTATGAGGTCCTACGTCAACTTTGTCTATCTGTCCATCTGTTCAATTTTATTACATTTAAGTGTTTAGCATAGTGAAATGATTATTTACTTCAAAATATCTCGTTCGAATACCCACCAATTTTTTAATTAAACATAATATTGGCTATTTTTTGAGACACCAGAAGTTGGTCTTTTTACTATTCAGTGGTAACATCAGTTTGATTTTTATTCTAAGCAAACTAACGTTCGAAACATTAATCGGTTTATTGTGACTTACCTCAAAGTCAAGAATCGACCTGTATCTTCACTATTCATTATAACTTCTATTTACTTATAGTCATGATATCGAAAAGTAGCCTTTTGTAACTATACCACAGAGTTACTTTTATTATTCGACTTATCAAACTAAGTAGTAGGAAACCTTGAGAATGCATTTCTCTACCTTTCTGTACTTACTATTAATGTATATCTAAAAAGGTAATGTATTTATGGTTGCGTAATGAGTCGAAATTGTGTTACTTGCTTGCTACTTCAATCGGAAACAATGTCGCTTACTAATCTACATCATTTTGAAATGTTTTGTCTTGTTATATACAAGACAGCTGTTCTTTTCCGTAACTTAATAAGTAACCTTAGGAACATTCTGTCCTGCGGTCTGATCAGTTAGAAGTCATCCCGGTAAGATGATAATTTCTGGGAGAAAAGGCAATATGACGCAGATTTTTCTCAAGTGTAGTAACTGTTCACAAATAACGTAAATGATAAGATGTACAAATATAAGTAATGCTCTCCCCTACTTATGATAGTTCCACCTAAATACTTATCATTTCGATTACTGCTTCCTGATACGGAATAAATGTTTTTAATTATTGCATTGTACATTAGAACTTCGCCTACTTTACTAGTTCACTAGTTACTAGCCAGTCCTAAACCCGGATCAGCAGGGAGGGTTGGGTATAGGGCTAGCAATCCTACCCCGGAAAACCAACCTAACAGCTAAACAAACTTCAAAGCACAAAGAAAATACAAAACATAAAAGTAAACTTATTACTCTCTGAAATCGGAGAGACGGAATGACACCAGTTGGTGAAAGACTTCGGGAAACCAATTGGCCAATATGTTTCCTCTCCCTCGATAACAGCCAAAGTAAGAATGGAGATATGGAATGTCCGCACAATGTTTGAAGCTAGCTGGCAAGGCTACTCAGATTGCAAAAGAGGTGAGAGTGTATGGCATAGATGTGCTAGGAAACTGCGAGGAATCTGCAGATGGAATGGAAGTGGACTCTGCAAACTCTTAACTGGAGAGTCAATAATCTACTCTGATATTGTCACCCCGACGACAACCACAAGCACACTGAGTTTCGGAGTGACTATCGTGATGTCTCCAAGAACATCGACAGCTCTCATACAGTGGGAAGCAATCTCCTGCAGGATCATGACAGTAAGATTCAACTCAAAAGGAAGGGAAGTTATAATCATAAAATTCTACGCACCTACGAACAATATACATCAAGAGAAGAAGGAGGAATTCCATAGATAGCTGCCTACACTCGATACTGAAGATCAGATGGCCAGAAAGAATAAGCAACAAGGAACTCACTCTGGCAATGAAACAACCAACAACCTATCACCCAACAAATACGCAGAAGAAAGTAGAGATGGACTAGGTTGAATTGGACTTATAGTGAGAAGACCAGTAGAAGACATCGCGCATCAGGCCAGGCCATCGAGTGAAACCCAAAGGGGAAACGTCGACTTAGGCGTGTGAGCGGAGGATAACATGGAGGAGATGGTGTAACGAAGAACTGAGATCTTGTGGGTAGTCGTGGAACCAGGTTCAAAAGACTGCAGAGAGTAGAGTGAATTGGTGAAGTGCTACTGAAGCCGTGTTCCACCGGAGAAAACAGCATAGTGCAAAATAGTATCTAGCTGTCAAATCCTAGACAGGTATCTTAATGGATAATTTTTCTAGGCACTGTTTAAAGTTTATCAATATTTTCCAGTCAAATGAGTGCAGCTCAGAATTACATATAAGTTTCGTTGAGAATGGGACCATATAAACCGCCAAACAAAGATCTGTTGGTTGCTGAATAGTGGTCTTCTAGAACAGTGACCTAAAAACCAAGGTTACCACTGGATGTTAGCAACCATATACAGAAAAATATATTACCGCAGTTCTAATGAAAAGTAATGCTTCGTGTAGCCACTATAAGCATCTACATAGAAAAGCATTCAATGAAGTTATTGGTGGGTGGATCACATTGGAAAAGACAATTGAAATGAAAAATGGGATTAATTAGATCCTAAACAAGTCATTTTCCATAATTTTGATCCCGAAGCAGAAAACAAAAGTTGGTGTACAATAGGTTGTTGAATGAAGACGATCTTCATAGGAAGAAATCAACTTCAAGAAGAATGAATTGATACTTTTGGGCCATACAATGTACTACACAGCGACATATTAGCAGCTAAAGATATTTCAGACGGTGAATATATTCGCTGCCTTTGGTTAATTTCTCCTTACTGTTTCGCTTGATCTAACAGTTACGCTTAAATCTACAATTATAACTTCTTTGACAAGTTTCTTATGATTATTTTAACAAAATTAAGTATCAAATTCACTTTATCTTTCTTTTTTTTCAAATCAAATAGGCTACATCTCCAGATGAAAAAGCTTTAGTCATTGGTGCAGCTAAACTTGGCATTCGATTTATGGGTTCATCAGTAAATGAGAACAATTCATCTTCAAGAATTTATCGGTTAGAATATGATAACGATACAAGTAACAGTTCAGATCAACCTTTAATCATGGAGTATACAATTGATGCTGTCCTTGAATTCGATAGTGTTCGAAAACGTATGACAGTTATGGCAAAGCATCCAGATGGTACTTGTCATATTCATTGTAAAGGAGCTGAATCAAGTATGTTTGAGGTAAGGAGACTTTAATAAATATACATGAATGATCTTATTTTCCACACTTTTCGCCTCCAAACATTCTACAGTTTCTTTTTACGCTGTCAAAGTTATACATCATTTTGTGACATATTGAATGAGTTCACAACCACTCTGTGGTTGAGTAAGTAAGAAAAAATAATTTGTATTATCTGCTTGGATGGTGACAAAGTCGAATTATCATCTATTAACTAGATTTCATACAAGTGATTCTTATCCAAAAAACGAAACTTCAATCATATTTAAAACCTAAATTGCTTGTGAATAGTTAGATCTCTAAATGAAAACGTAACATCAATGAAGAAGCTCGACAGTCATATGTAATAGTGTCCTCGGTGGTTAGCGTGGAACCCAGGACGTGGGTTTTTTCCTATTCGACACTACTCAGCTACATATAGTTTCATCTCAGTGAGTGAACTTGTTCCTACTGCTACTCCAAGCTAATAGCCATCGCTTCAAGTTTCTGACCGTTATCAGATATAGTGGAAACTATTTGTAGCTCAGGTGGATGGTCTTGTTCGTTTTATGTTCTCTGCGTTGGGTTGTTTAATCGTGAGTCTTTCATCGTCTTTCTAGACGAAATCATCAGTACTAACATCATGATGACGTGAACCGTCAGTATCTCTCTGTGAGTAATTCAGTAGCTTGTCCTGACAATGTGGTGTGTAATTGGCTGTTTCCTTTGATTGTTGAGACCACTTGCAATTGGTGTGGCTCATAAACCAACAAATTCCCTCCAAACACAATTATGCAGACCAAAAGGATACAACTACCAAAGAAGACAAACTGAACATCATTTACAAAATCAACTGCAATAACTGTAGTCAACACTACATTGAACAAAGTGGTCACCCTCTTCACCTTCGTACACATGAACACCAATTGGCTATTAAACATCACACATGACATTTCATCACTCACTTCAATGCACGTGGATAACAAGTATGCAGATGAATTGAACTTTGACAATGTGGAGATTTTGGAGAGAGAGAGAGAGAGAGAGAGAAGAAAGACGAAGAATATCAGAGAATTCATAGGAGTTTGTGATTCAGGTGATTCATTCATTCATTCAGTCAGTCAGTCAGTCAGTCAACAATGAATAGATGTATAGACATAGACCGAATGTATCAAGCAATGAGGAAGATGATGAACGAGGGGAAGGTGATTGGTCAAGTAGAAGGAGAGTGAACAGGGAAATCCATGCAGTCAATGATACAACAATCGAAGGAAACAACCAATCATGAGGTAGTTTTTCATGGCAAGTTACTCAGTCTGTTATGGAGAGTTGTCGACAGGTGACTTCATACTGAAGTAAGTGTTGATGACGTTGTCTAGGAAGATGATGAAAGCTTCATGATTAAGCAACCGAGCTCAGAGAACACAATACAACCAAGTTATCCACTAAGCCACTTCGACACATAAACCTTCTCTTTATATATATATATATATATATATATATATATATATATATATATATATATATATATATATATACGTTCAAAGAAGCAAATAATCAGCTACTTCACAGATTTGTCCATTTGTTTAAATATCTTGCATGTTTTTAAATCTGTCTAGACTTTAGGTGGCCTATTCTTTTTAAAAATATCATTAAAAGCATTCAGTCTACAGCCTTAGGCTATTCCAACTAAGAAAGTTTAAGGGCAATGTTAAAATGTATATGTATTCGAAAAGAACTAAGCCGTAATAGTTTATTATATTCAAAAGAATTTACTCGCATTTATCCTTCTGAAGTTAAACAATTTACTAATACTTGTAAGTCTACTTTTATGTGGTCACGCAAGAGTAAGATAAAGTCTAAGCATCACATGGATAGCAATGACTTGAAACTTATAAATTTCAAAAAGTAGAAGCTGGTGAAAATGTTTTACAGAAACAGTGGTTTTTATATAGACAAAAGATTTCATGGATAAGAAGAAAAGAGAGGATAAACTTGATCGATTTTGAGTCAATGGCATTATGTCATTGATATACGGGATCTGACATAAAAACGTCAAACGAGAAGATGTGACACAATGACCGAATTCGATATCGAAATTAAAATAAAGGCAAACTGTGAATACATAGAGTCAACTGAGAAAGATTTTAAACCATATCATATAGAGCCTGAAACAGTCAGATTCACTTGCCTAGTAAACACCAATTAGAATCGTGGTATTTCCCGCATAGCTTGCACCAACAGTCAGAGATTACATGAACCTATACAAACTTCTACTACAATCAACTTCAACCTCCTCAAAACATAAAACTACTTCAGTTCACGCACATTAACACGCCAGACAGCATTTCGACAAGTCAACAACAAGTCAAAATATACACAACAATGAAGGTTCCCAATCTCATCAACTGATTCACCTCTTCAACATCAAAATATATACCAGACCACCTCCAAACCAACATCATGCTCCCTCCCACAAAATATCATTCCAGATAACAAGCTAGGGGAAGTTGAACACCTGAAATTTACTCATATCCTCAATCATGAAGAGCCATATTCCAAAATCATTCCGAGCACCAGAAAGTAGTTCTCATCAAACAATCATCCATTTTGCCTACCTAATCCAAATTCCAAGGTATGTGAATTGATCAGTGAACTATATCACTTCAATCACTATCGATGATGCAACACACACACACACACACACAGATCACTCGACGAACAACAACTCACATTCAGGTGGTGTGTAACGCTCCACAAGCATCCTCCATTCTCCATCAAGTGTATTCAAATCTGAAACTGTTCCCACTCTCATCCTTCCAGTCATTCACATCAAGCAAACCATCTGCAATCCTCAAAAATCAGTTGACTAACTCCAAATTTCGAGAAGTAATGATTGTTCATTCATATGAATGTCAGAGTGGATTAAGCAGTGGACTTGATCGAAACTAATGTCCTGATTAGGTCAGTCAAGTCAGGTCAGGTTAGGTAACCGAACAGGCCATTACAGATATAACATAGCACTGTGGTTTCAAACAATTTGAAGTTGTGATACACTTTCTTTGTCTTGCATGGAAGTTATTTTATTTCCTGGTAATAGAGTGGTCATCAGAATGTACTCTGAATATTAGCGTTGAGAATTTCACAACGGGATATCACCATGAAGCATGATTTGATCGATCATTGGTAATGTGTTGTTTTAATTTCATTATTGTTGACTGGCTTTATTTTCTTCCATAACTTTATTAAACTTCTTAATCTGAGTATTTTTGGATTTCTTGAATGTGGTTGATCTCGCTTGATTGGAATTATGCATCAGATGCTCATAATGTTTCTCACCAATCGTTTGTATCACCTTGAAGTTAAATTCTTCGATGTACTTCTTGAAGTTTTGCAACTTTTTGACTATTCTTTGAAGTTTACCAACACGTTCTCTATCGGCTTTGACTTTGTCTTTTGGAATTGGTGTATTTAGATGTAGATATTTAGGAATGATTTGATTTCTAAGACGTTGAATGTTGTTTATACGGTGATTTGTTTATCTGCCTTCTGTCTGTGAAGGCAGATACCTGCTTAGATAGACCTTTTTATAAAACTGTTGCAATTCATTCTGAAGCTGATTATTAATTGCACAATGAAATCGCAACTTACCAGGAAATCACAGTATATTCAAGGAAGAATGACTTGATTTTTTCAATGAATTACTTAACAAAAGTAGAAAAAGGGACAAATTAAACTGGAGTGTTTAAGCTAATTATGACTCAATTGCATCAATATACCCACGATTATTAGGAAAAACAAATTTTGATATGTTTATGACAGTTACTTGATATACAAGAATACTTCTCGAGAGTTATGCAAGTATACTTTGTTTTTTTTTGGCAAGACAAATAGAGACCTTTAAAACAAGCTTTAGTCAACTGTCACAAGTATCCCTAGTTAAAAAACATATACACTCACAAATCAAAGCTTGTGAGTAGTTCCTTAATGATTTAGTCATTGAAAGGGTATATTACTTGTTAGTGCCAGTGGAAAGTGGGAAATATGTTTCGTCCTTTCTAGGACACCTCATTGGTATTTGTTTGCATTTTAGGTTACGGATTTCCTGTAGAGACTTCAAGCCGACATGTAAGCTTTAAAAAAGCACAACACTAGTTGTACATTCATTCACCTATAATCTCTTTCTTTTGTTCAGTGGCTATTCCAGAGTATTTGAGAGTGGAATTTCCTATTATTTCTTTATCGTTACTGAACTGATCAGTTTACTCCAATACACTGACTTCAAGTGACAAGTTCATGATGAAACGACACTTTTTCCTTAACTCCACTTTCTACTATCATCTAATAAACTGGCTGTCCACTATTACCAGGTTTTCAATGGCTCTCCAGTTGGTGTCAAACATATAGATAAATAAAATCAACGCAGAACCTGACACAAAACTCCATCGGGTCATGTCAATACGCTTCACAGTTGTACACAGATAATAGGTGAATAGAAAAAACTGACATAAAAGTACAACAAAGGTATATGAGAGAATAAACAATGTGAAGATAAAGATGATTTCAAATATTCAAGTCCCACAAGACATCAAGCAGCGAATACATCTCCACCAATATCACCGATTTTCAGCCATCTCATCAACAGTCCTCAACTATGCCTACTCTCGTCTTGTTCACCCCAAACACACAGTCTACATCTCATCCAGATGTCTGAGATCAACAGTTGGGGACTTCATGTAGTGGTGCCACATCTTCGTCTGGTTATCCTGAACTCTCTTCCAATCTAACCGAATTTCTCATAGGATGGGATGTTGATGTAGATGGTGTGTGCATTACATGTTGAAGTGATCTTAGTCGACTAAGTTTCACAACCTCATCAGTCGATTTTCCTGTCTTTCCTCGTTCCCTTCTTCTGATGTGATCATTGCTCATATGGGGATTCCACTATGTGTGAGAATGCTGCGAAGACACCTATGATGAATATTTTCTAACTGTTTCATGTCTTCTTGTTTTAAAGCCCATC